TGACAAAACTAGATATCAGGGACTATTTATATCTAAAACCCTGTATAGTACACATATTCCATGTATTTTGTTCTTTTTCCAATAAAGATAAAATCATTTAAAGCATTATAATTCTTGTATCTGTCATATTTTTAACTTCTGTTTATAGTTTTGTTATTTAAGAAGGTATCAAAATGTACATAATTCCGTATACAAAAATACTTTATTAAAATTAAATTATTTCACTATTCTTTTTGTAAAATTACACACCAATTTCCTTCGTCATAATATACGTGTTCTATTTTAACCATAGGTATTTGTGAGCACAACTGCGGTAGTTCCCCTTCTTCGAATACGTGATAATATCTTAGAAAATTTCCTCCTTCTTTCCTTTTCCAAGGAACAAGCATATCTGTAGACATAAATTTTGTACGATTTTCATGAACTGGTAATATTACACCATATTCTGTTAATTTCTGTACACATGACGGTGTATTATCTTTTTTACTTGTATTATACTTTAGGTATGCAGTTTGAGTAGAATCTTTTTCTTGTTCTTTTGCCCATACATAAATTAAACATTTTCCATTAGGTCTAAGAAGTCGTGCCAATTCTGCAATTGCTTGTTTTCTTCTTTCATGGGTTGAAAGATGATGAATTACTGCTATGCTTATTGCTGCATCTATACTATTATCTCTATATGGCAAATATAAACAGTCAGATAAAAAAACTTCAAATTTCTTTTTGTAACATATTTTCATTAAATTTTGGCTTCGATCACATCCAACCTGAAATATTAAATGTTTTTTATTATAGATCTTTCATGCAGTAAAAATCTTTGTGTATATTTTCTTAAATTTTTTTCAAATGGTCTTTAAAATTTAATTGTATGAAATATAGAGAAATAAATGAATAAAAAATACAGAGAAGTTATACCTTAAATATATTATGTTGTTCATGAAGATATTTGCCATTTCCACAACCTACATCTAACAGAATGTCACCTGGATTTAATGATTGAAGAAACTTTAAAACGTTTGGCCACTGCTTATGTCTAGTTTCATTGAAATGATTTGAAATATTTTCATAAACCTATAAATAAGTACATTACAATTTCTTTCTTATAACAAAAGGTAGCAGTATATAATTTATAACACATACATTATGTACGTAAGAGAATTCTAGTCCTGTTGCTATTTTATCATCTATAAGAGTAGTGGGAGATTTTCTTTTAATGTTACAGTATTGTGGAAAAGCACAAAGGCAATCACCTCTTCTCACTTTTCGAAATGTAAATGACACTCTTGTACCACGTGGTTGTGTCGTTGTTCCATCTGTAGATTTGACTATATCATTATGTCTGGGGCAAATTCCATGGGACCATGCATAACGAGCCTCTCCCGACATAATCAATAATGAACGAGGAGGTAAAAGAATATTGACTTTCTCAGCGTCTCGTTTAAAATCCATAATACATGCTGAACCCAATGACAATGACAATATAGAATCTTCAAAGACGCTATGTGTATCAACATGTGGAGGAATTCCTTAAATTATTAAAACATTACGAAAATCTGATAAATAAAGCTTCATGTTATAAAGATTCGTATATATGTATATGTAAATAAAGATTCATGTAATATACCTTGCCCAGGTAAATAATGGTTTATTGTTAACTGATCGTATTCATATGATACGTTGTGATATTGCTTAAATAACATTTGTAAAAATTGATATTCTTGGGGAATAGGTGTAATTGGTATATCAGGATTTACTTCGTTTGAATTATATTGAAATTCATAGCCAAA